TTTCTGCATGACCAGGTTCCTGAACTTCTCACTTCACTGCCTTTCTGACGCAGAACCAACGTTCTTGACACCAAAGACGATGCCTATCTGAAAACATGTCGCCACGGAGCAGAGCAAACTTACTGCCCCATCTTCTTACTGGGGAAACTGGTCAGCTGGGCCAGGAGCAACTTTCAGGGGACGGCATGAGAGGTATGAAAGACCTAAGTCCACTCCTTCCTTCAGGTGGTGGTCCCTCCTACAGTGATGAAGGATGAAGAGGTGCAGCAGTTCTCCCTTCCCAGTGGAGGAGCCTCATGGACTTCCATTTTCTGGGAAGGACTATCTCCCCACTGTGGAGCTTTAATGGGACCTTCAGACGCGGCTTGGAGGGCGCTGAGATGGCAGAGGTGGGGTTTGGTTGAGGAGACTTGTGGTCATCAAGTGAAACACTGCAGCAATTCTGATTCGCACCCTCTTCTTTTTGAACCAGGACCCTGCTCTGTTTATTTTATTAATTCATGTCAATTGAGATGGCCACCCTGCGCCCTCTCTCAAGGGGACACTAGGTGGCGAGGAAAACAATAAAAATAATCGTAGACACTTCTGCCACGTTACCCTCTCTTTCCACCCCTCCTGTCTCCCGCTGTTGACGGAGTGGAGTGATCTGTGATCTGTGACCAGCTCTGGACTCTGCTTGAGGGAGGGGTTGGAGTGGAGGAGGGGGCTGGTTTGGAAGGGTAGTGAATGATGTGGATGGAAATGGATGGTTGATAAGTCACAGCAGTGGCCTATCCCAAGTGCTGAATGCCATATGCAGGAGCAGCTGGAGAAGTGACTATGGTTGTGGAGGAACAAGGACACAGATGCATGTGGCTGGTTGCCATGACTTGGGAAGAGGAAGGTGTGAGTTGGGGGGAATTTGAGGGGGAAATGAGGGCAGGAAGTTCCATCAAGATTATGATGGGCAGAAGGAAATATGGCAAGAAGCCTAGAGTGGGCCGTTTGCTGAGATGGTGGGACCGAGCTTAGACCTGTCCTGCTCTCCAGTCTTCAAAACACATCCCCAGAGTCAGGTTATTGGGTCTTTGATAGTGGAACCAGTGACCCCCAAAGGGGATGGATCCCCCTCTGAACACTGGATACATTTGAGCAAAAGCTGGACAGCTCTTGCCCAGCAATATTTAATCAGAAATTCTGCATTGGAGCTGGAGGTCGCACTCCTTTACCCCTATTAACTCTAGGACTCTTTATTTCTAGAAAGCAAAGTGGGAAGGACCTTGGCAATATTTTGCTCCTCAGAAGCAAGATTGGCATTACTTGGAAAATATGCACTGCTTTGAGTGAAAGCCACATGCCTCCTCAAAACTTTGCCCTGTCCAGTGGTGCCCTTTGGCACCAAAATATTTAGGATAGGCCCTGGACACAGTGTGCCAACTCTGGTTAGTCTCCCAGGGCTTTTGAGGGAAAAGAGCTTCTTGATCTTCTGCTGAAGCTGAAGAAAACCTTTGTCTGTTTCTTTTATTCAGGGTGGCGTGATCGGAATTCAGATCGAATGGGACTGCAATTTAGATCAAGCACCGTCGGAATGCAACCCTCACTATTCTTTCAGTCGGCTAGATAACAAGTTTGCGGAGAAGTCCATCTCCTCTGGATACAATTTCAGGTAATGGAGAAGGAAGTGTTTGGCCGAAGCGTTCTCAGCCTGCAACTTCTGCAGTTCAGTCTCTCAGTAATTCCTTCAGTGGCCGAGTCTGGACGGGGTGATTGACCAGGTCAGCTACTAACCAAGTCAATTCGCTAAACCTTGTGAGTCAGCTGGGCCCAGTCACAGATTTTCTCCAGGACAACCTGTCCCCAACCTGGTCCTTCAGGTCTTCCAGTGGTGCACCCATTGCTGCTTTCGCTGGTCATCCTTTCGTGTCCTGGCTTCAGCAGTGGGAGAAAATGCCCTTGCAACTGGCAGACAAAATGTGGGCACAGTGTGGGCACTTGGGGGTGAGGCTTGCAGAGGTCCTGGGCGAGAGAACACGCACTGTGGAGGGAGCTTGGTCAAAAGGCAGCGAGGAGGGGAAAATGGTGGGAATCATGAGCAGAGTTGGAACAGAGCGATTGGAGCAGAGCATTTGCAACGAGGCTTGTGAAGGTGTCCAGAAGCTTGTGTAATGGTATGTGGGAAGGACCCTGGGAGAGGGGCAAAGAGATGCTGCTTAGGGAATCGTCAGATAAGAGACAGCTTATCCCTCAGCTGCATAAAGGGCAGAGAAAGAGGCTCAGGAGGGACCCTCCCTGGTTTCTCAGGCTGTAAAGGAGACGGTGGGAGATTTGCACTTTAGACTTGCAAGATTCTCTTAACATAGCCTCACAATAAAGTAGAATTAGCTCATCTGGCCATGTTTCCTGTCTGGTCTACCTGGAAGGCTAACACTTGTCAGGAGAGGTGGCAGCAAACAGGTGGGGGAGGCAACAGAAGAGGAGTTGGGAAGCAGGCAGAAGAGTGTGTGTGCACACGGCCTCTTACTAGAGGCGGAGGAAAAGATGTAATCCGGGTCAGATGGTTCGTAGTCAAATACCACACAATGTCTTGAAAAGTACTGAGGGGAGAGCCAGAGACTTGGTCAGGAACATGCTGAAGTCGAAAACGTAGCAGGGGTCAAGAGCAGGAGTACACAAAGCACAAAGCCACACACCGAAGTTGCTTCCAGTCCCTGCACCGCTGAAATCCTCTCCCTGCTGAGCGTGCACAGCCGAGGCTTTCCTGGATCAGCGATTGCCAAGGAGGCACCCGGCTCGCTTGCAGAGTCAGCATCTTGCCGCTTGCTCGCGAGGCACTTATTGGACAGGTGCAGGATGCTCAGGTGCGGGGGGCGGGGCTGTTGGCTAAAGAAGGATCAGCACTGGCTGAGGAGGGAGCTGAGAGGGTGTCAGTGTTGGAATCTGTGGCTAGTGGAGCCTGATCCGCCCTCGTCCTGGAGCCTGGCTCTGAGGTCACGACACGCCCTCTTCTTCTCTTTCCTCCCATCTTTCCCAGCATTGCAGATTTCTCAAGCACGCTGGGTCTTTACAGAAAGTGTCCAGCATATGATATTTGGAGCCTGGTCACTGGTGCTTCGAGGGAGAACTCTGGGTTGATTTCTTTGATGATCCATTGATTCATTTTCTTGGCTGTCCATGGTTTTCTCAGGAGTCTTCTCCAACCCCAAAGTTCAAAAGTGTCAATTCTGTTCCTCTCCTGCTTCTTCAGAGTCCAACTTTCGCTTCCATAAAGTGTCATAGGGTATATCATTGCTTGTACTTCTCTGATCTTTGTAGGTATAGACCAATGTTTCTCAATCTTGACAAGTTTAAGATGTGTGGACTTCAACTCCCAGAATTCCCCAGCCAGCATGGGGAATTCTTAAAGTTCTACATCTTAAAGTTGCCAAGATTGAGAAACCTGCATAAAGTGATCCTCCACCTCCAGCATCTTCCTATATCACTGCTGCCCAACATAGGTGCCTGCTTGGGGGGAATTTGAACTTGGCACCATCATAAAAAGAAAATCCTACCATTAACCTTAACCCTGAATTTGGCAAATATAAATACTGACGATGCATCCATCTGTAAAGGTTCTAGAGTAGTTTATTTATTTATTTATTAAATTTATATGCTTTATTTGCATCTTTAACATTTCCAAAATTTTTAATAATGGAAATTTCATGCAAGAGTGGGGCTCCTTCCTTATTAGACATTGTTAGTCCTAAGGTAGTATTTATATATATATATAAAACCAATGAATTAATTATTAATTGATAAGAAACGGGAAGGAAAAGGAAAGGGGCATAGAATCAAAATGCAGGACCCAAAGCAAATAATCCAGACTCACAGGAGCCGTCTTCACCATACCAAATGTATTTTATTTATTTATATATAAAATATATATATATAGCTGTCTATCTCCCAAGAAGTGACTCTGGGCCGTGTACAACAAAGATATAAAACAAGAAAACAAATCTAAAAAAATCATTATTCGAAAGCATTCTTAAAATGCTTCTTCCATAATCTTGGCAGCAATTACAAGGATGTCCGCAGGGTGTGGTTAAAAAAAAAAATTAAAGGTGGTGAACACTGAAGTAGATGGATGTAAAGTCAAATCTTACAGAAGTCTTAATCGTTGCACGAAAGGCAAATCACCTTCATGGCTTCAGTCAGAGGGTAAGTCTGCAATGATTCTGCTTGGAAAAAGAAATCACGCCACATTTTCTGGTTTTCAGATTTGCCAAGTATTACCGAAGCGCAACAGATGTCGATTTCCGAACGTTGATCAAGGCCTACGGGATCCGCTTTGATATTATGGTGAATGGCAAGGTGATGTCCGGCACAGCTAGGGAAAACGCAGATCCTCTTCTTGGCCTGAGACCTCAGCTGACTGCTCAGTGCTGGGCGGGGAATGAGATGCCCTAACAGTCCCTGGGAGAAACATGGCCTTGAGGATATGGTCAAAAAGACGGGTATCCAGAGGGTCTGGGCAACAAAGTCAAGTTGGCAGCCGCAACAGTGCAGTCAGAGTGCTGTGCATCCTGGGTGTGATGCACATAAAAAGGAACAAAGCTTCAGTCACACTGTTGTGGCCGCCATCTTGTTGACTTTTTTGACCATACCCTCTGGATGCTCTTGCTTGTGAGTAAAATACAGCTCGCAGAAAGTCTCAGAATGACCACAGACCCTTTATGAACTTCTTACCCTTCTCTCCAGAGGCCCATCAAGTAAAGGGAATAACATTCTGATCTTTGATCAGTGGCTCAGAAATTAGAGCAAGATTTTCAAAGAGCATCTATAGGTTGTCCTCAGTTAACAACCACTCGTTCAGCAACCCTTCAAAATTATGATGGTGCTGAACAAGGGGGACTTATGACTGGTCCTCGAAGTTCCAGCCGTCCCAGTGTCCATCCAATTGCGATCTGAGTGCTTGGCAACTGGCTCACACGTGCAACGGTTGCAGTGTCCCACGGTCACAGGATCACCATTTGCAGCCTTGCCTGCCAGCTTCCTGCAAGCAGAGTCAGTGGAGAAGCTAGCAGGGAAGGTCGCAAGTTGCTCCTGCTGCTTTTTCTCGCCACACTACCCTCTCCCCAGCCTGCACATGCTCACACAGCACTGCACCACCACCCCTGCCTCACTCCACAATACTCACCTGCCCTCCGGCCTACTTGTGAGCCACCAGGCCTTGCAACTTCCAGCCGGCTTTGCTTGTGGGAAGCTGGCAGAAAGTTGCAAGTCACTATCATGTGGGGTCCTCACTTAACGACCTGCAAATTTTGCTTAGCAACAGCAACTGGGGACTGCCAGGATTGCTGTCACTAAGCGGCACGGTCACATGACGTCACATTTAAGACCGCACTACTTAGCGACTGAAATTCCAGTCCCAATTATCATCGTTAAGCGAGGAATACTGTACCTGTAATTTTGAGTGAAGGCTGGATCTCAAACTCAGCAATGAACCCCCAAGACCCAAACATGTCAGGATGACTTAAAACAGAGACCTGCATTTAAAGAGTTGGGTGCCACATGGGACCTTGAGTAGTGTGCTGGGGGCCAGGACAAATATTAGAGATGATTTAGCCTTTCATTGTAATGCCAGTTACAATAAATGCAGCAACTTTGATTCAGCTTAGGCTGGTTAGGTGTGGTAGCCTAAGTGTGACTACTATTAAATATTATTGAACTATTGAAAATAAGATAGTAAAATACTATTAAATATTACTTTACTGTTACTAAAGAGTTGGGGCCACTTTTCTAAGAGTTTTGGAATCATCACCGGCCACCTTGTTTTGGCTTAAAAGGAAAAGGGCTTCAAAATAACACAAAGCTTGAAACCCAGAGCCGTGTTCCTCTGACCAAATTCACTCTTTTTGCATTTCCTTTCAGGCGGGGAAATTTAACATCATTCCAACGGTAATCAACGTGGGATCCAGTCTTGCTCTGATGGGAGTGGTAGGTCAATCGCTGGGGATGGAAGCAGGCAATTGCTGGATTATTTCTGTATTTCCAACACGGGTCACCCTTCAGCCCCCTCCGGACTCTGAGCAG